AAAGAGGTTAATATGGAGGCAGGCAGAATGAGAGGAAGAGGACATTGTGTGGGGAAGGGGATACAAGGGAAAGTGAGGTGGCCCCCTGCAAATACTTGTAGGCTCTCCACCATGCAACTGGGCCCCACTCAGGCAGCCCCACACAATTTGGCTGGAGTTTTCTCAGGGAAAGGCTGCTGGGAAAGGGAAAAAGTGAAGCTGAAGCAAAGAAATATAGAATGGTTGGTAGGTGGGAAGGAGAGAAGGAAACAGGAAAAGGGTAGAGGCTATGAGGGAAGGAAATAGTGTGAGGGGAAATAAGAAGCTCCCACAAGTCTTTGTAGGTCCCCATCTTGTGTGTGTATATTTCATCCATGCCAAACACTTTTCTTAAAGATCTATATAATATGATTCCTCCTCTGTTTTTATTGACTGTGGAGTAAGGAAAATAAAAAAGAGGGAATAAACCTTGCTGTTAATCTACAATCCATGTGTATCTGCAGTGTATGAGATAACGGAAAGACCAATGGATTGGCTATAGATGCCTAACAAATTTCCAGCTGTGCAGGCAGCACATTTTGTTAATAATAACACAAAGCCAGTGCAATTTTTCCTTTAATTAAGCAGCCCAGCACAGCTGGACAGAAAACAAAATGAAATTGGAAAGGCTAAAAAGAACCTGTTCTGTCTTCTTGAACCTTGTATGTGAAGCTGTTTTAGAGGAATTAGGAAAGCTGCCAGGGATAGCTGAAGAAACTCATCTTTGAGATTCTTTAAAAAAATGTGATTCTTCTTCTGTTGCCACCATTTATTTATTGCTAATACCAAGGAGCTGTTAGGGTGTCATTTCTGGCTGTAATAATGTATAACTATTATTTGCAGGTGGGTTATTTGGGAAACCAGGTGAAGTTCCAGAGCTATTTGAGACCCATGTGGTTTGTAAAACTATTCCCTTGCAATATTACCTGTGCTGTGAAGTACTGTGGTAGTTGCTGAAAGCAGGCATTTGTCTGCAGAAGAAACCTTTGGCCTAATACAGTGGTCTTCAACTTTTCCAGAGCCAGTACCCACTTAGCACTGGGCCTACCAATCTGCAAATCCATGCCTGGAAGTCATGTGTCATCAGTCATGTGACAGGAGAGTGTGCATTATAATCTCATTGGTGGTAACGAAACTCAGCATGGAAAGCAGGCATTGAATACTGGAGTACGAACAGGTGGGAGTGACCAAGTCAGCCTGTGGGAGCAATGAGAAGGGAAGGGAGAGCTTGTGTGTGTGTGTGTGTGTGTGTGTATAGGGGGGTATCTCTGAATCTGTTTGGGACCAAAGGAATGCTGCCGAGTAACCTTGCTGTCCTGCTGCTCATTTTAATGTGCATACAAAGAAAGGCAGATGCTGTGGTGCCTTTGAGTGTGTGCATGTGTGCATGTACACAAGCAGAAAGTACATGAAAAAGCATTCAAAATGGCTACTTTATAGGGGGGAGAGAGAGAACCATTGGATTAGGGTTGCCAGCTTTGGCTTGGGATACTCCTGAGGGTTTGGGGCAGGTGTCTGGGAAAGGTAGAGTTTGGGGAGGGAACTCAATGAGGATGTGATGCCATAAAGTTCCCCCCACCATCTGGAACTGCCATTTCCTCCAGGGGAACTGATCTTTGCTGTCTGGAGATCAACTGTGATCCTAGGAAAACTCCAGAGCCCACCTGGAGGTGAGTAACCCTACCTTGGATTGAAAACCTCTGGCCTAATAGCTTGATTTATACTTGTGGTGGGTGCAAAATGAATAAAGAGTTCCTGTTCTATGATATCCAGCTCAAACAGGTGGCAATGTACCCCTCCTGAAAAGCAGGAGGCATAAAACCTCCACATATAATGCTTCATAAATGCTGTTGATATCTTAGAGAATCTGCTCTATTAGCATACTATTCTCTGTTTTCCATTTTTACAAATCTGTGTAGCCTGAGCTGAACTAAGGATCTTTGGTGTCCATATTAAAATGTATTACAAAGTTTCTGTAGAATTAAGATTATTGGTTCTGTAGTGTAATTTAATTTTACCCTATGTAACAGTTATGTAATAAAAATGAAGTCATTGTGATTGCCTCCCTTGTGGATTCTTTGACCTTCACTGGAGGGGATTCCCGTGAAGAAGGTACTCTTGACAGAGGCCCCCTGATGGTAAGGAATAAGCCTAGTAAACGCAGGTCTGTACTATTTCATACCACAAACTGCACCAGGTTTCTAGACAACCATGAGTACTTGATAGGCTTACCAACCTCCAGGTGGGGCCTGGAGGTCTCCTGGAATTATAACTGATTTTCAGAATTCAGGCATTAGTTCCTGTGGAGGAAATGGCAACTTCAGAGAGTGGACTGTATGGCATCAAATCCCTTATGAGCTCCCTTTAATCCCCACACTCCATCCTCCTGAGGGACCCCCCCAAATCTCCAGGGATTTTCCAAGTCAGAGTTGGCATCCTTAGTACTTGAGATGATGGTGGGTTGCAATCCACAGCTGGGACACAATCTTGTTTTTACTGCATCAAACTGACTGTACCACAAATATTGTTTAGAGGGAAGCAGAAAGACAAAGAGAAAGAGAGATGGGGGGGGGAAGGATAAAGAGGACAGAGTTAGAAAGTTAACTACAGTAACCATGAGAGAGAAAAGTAAAAGTGGAACCCATGTTTCAGGTTTCAGATGAAAGCAAATCACTTCAAAGTAGACTCAGAAGTTATTTTTACAAAGGACTCTGCATCTGCATTCTGCTTGAAACTGTGTCCAAGTAAACAAAGCAAGACAAGCATATTGACATGTAGGGGATGTTACTGTAACTATATAAAGAGAAATGTAATTAGTTCTTAATTGCTTATGAGGCTTACCTGCAGTGTTGGATGGGACTTTTCCATATCCACCCAGCTAAGTACCCAAACTTGGTCATGTGACTTATCATAATGTAATTTTACTGGTAGAGGATCAGTATCTAAGGCCTTAAAAGAAACAGAAACATTTGCATTAGCTCTTTAGGGAAAGAAATGCAATCCAAGTATTTAATTCATGTTAATAATAAATTTTCTATTCATATGCCATCTCCAAGTTAGACATCATACCATCTCATGCCAGAGGTATTCCAAGTACCAGATATTGCTGTATTTTGAAGCCTGCTTGCTACTTATTGGGCATACCATAAAGTTACTCCCATATTCAAATTCTGCTGAAGTTGGTGGCATGACCTATTGCATCTGTGCATCTATTTTTTAAAAAATTTACTTCTTGCGTTTCCATCAAGACTGCTGAGTTGACTTTCAGTCCTCAGTAATTAAAACAATAAAGCGCAATCAGACAATCAGTAATATCAGCGTATCAACAATAAATCAGTATAGCTATAAATAGTGCAATGGGCAGAGCAATAATCTGTTGCTCCTGAACTGTGGTGGCTGGCCATGGTGCAACCATGGCACCACTAGTAGCCACCCTAAGAGGAAAGTTATGTGGCAGCCAAATGGGAAAAAAGGCACTGCCGCAGTGGTATCCATGGCGTTTCACCCACAGTGTTACATGCCAGCGTTTTTGTTAGGTGGGGGCAGCAAGATAGACAAGGCAGGCAGGACCCATGGGAGCCAGGGGGCCAAATCAAGCATCCATCACTGGCAGGGGACAGAGCTGGGCAGGCCACAGGAGCCTTGCTCCTCTCCTGCAGCACACATCCCTTAAAGAGACCAACTCCCATCAGAAGCCTTGGCCACCTGTCAGTGGGGAGGGGGCATCAACTGCTCATGTGTGTATTTTACCCTGTGCATTTATCTCTGTATGTGTGCTTCATCTTATTACCTCCTCTTTCAATAAAAAGAACCTCTCTTAGTTAAACCACTGACTGGCTTATTTCTCTAAGGAAAAAATCCCCATACACTTCGGTGAAGATCTTCCTTGTTACCTCCTCTCACAAGCTCTGTCTCCTTTGCCAATTCCCTTAATCAAATAGGAGCTAGCCCTTTTGGGTAACAGTGGGGGAGGGGGAGGGGATTTCCCCTACCACATGTGTACTATATATTTTACATACAGGGTAATTAGTATGTTATAAGCCTAGGAGGATTTATGGGAAGGGATACACGCATTGGCAATTCCTTCTACCCAGATCACCCCTCTAGGATTGTACCAGGTTATTGAGCAGGCTGTTTTTCCATTCCACCTGGGCTTTCTTTTTCTTTAACTGAGAATGAACTAATCTCAATTTCTATGGCTCCTGAAACATATTCAGTATTTATTGTTCAGTTTTTAGTGGGTGCTTTGGTAAATGAATACCTAGAGAGTCTTCTGAGTATGTCTTTGCTGGCCTGGTTTTTCTGCTTTTGTGATCGTCCTAAGCCACCCACATCGTTATTGGACACAACCATTACAACATACAATCAAAAAAGGAGGAATTCAATTGCAAATAACATTTTGATTTCAATCATTTGTTAGAAACTTGCATGCAGTAATGGTACTATTTGTAGTAACCATTTCTGCTTCTTACAACCCAGAACCCAAAAATACTCCTAACAAGCAGCAGTCTCGTTGCCTCTTTCTAAAAAAGAAGATGCTTCAATTGTCTGGCAAATCTCGCCAATCTAATAACTAAGTGCATAGCTTGGATCTCCTTTGGGAAGGGGCCTAATTCTTGGTAGCATTAAAACCTTTTATCCCCACCCTAAAGCAATCAGTTGCCCCTGGAAAGTTACCTGAATGACTTTCTGAGTTTGGATATCGAGGATCATTATTCTATTCCACTTAGGTTGCGTTACGTAAATATATTTATCTCTGACATTGACAGCAGAAGCCCAGAGGCAGGACTGAATGGTTTCACCTTCAACTCTAGGACAGATTTCTGCCTGAAATAAAAATAATGAAAGTCAGTTTAATCAGTTTAAGTTCAGTGCCTTGATCTAGACAGTCTGCCCTGTAGAATGATGGAAGAAAATAATAAATGGTTTTAAGTAAAAATGATGTGTTTGTTTTTGTAGTCAGGAAGATGAAATGATTGTCTGTATTGAGAGCACACAAGTCTAGATCTAGAGAGGGTACTGAGCTACTGCGAACTGCCATGTTTAAACAGACTAGCACATATTTAAACAAGCAGTCTCAGTGAGAAGCAGGGACTATAAATAATTATATATAATTATACTAGGAATAAGGCTCGTTGTGGAAATAAATACAACAAGCTCTACAAAGAGGCTCTGGGAGAGTCCCAAGGCCTTGGGCACTCAGCATCAATGTGCTGTGGCGACCTCAGCAGGGTATAATGACACAGAGTCCACCATTTTCTCCAGAGGAACTGATCTCTGCTACCCGAAGAGCAGTTGTAATTTTCAGTGATCTCCAGCCCTCACCTGGAGATTGGCAACAATTGTTACCCAGAAAGAAATGGCTGGTTTGGAGGATGGTCTATGGCATTGCACCTGTCTGAAGTCCCACCCCTCCTCAAACCTCCCCCTCAACAGGCTCCACACCTCAAATCTGCATGAATTTCCCAACCTGGAGTTGGCAACCCCATCTCCTTCCCAGCCAAGCATCAACCTGCCATTATCTGCCCCTCTGATTTCAGCTTTGCATCTCCTCCCCCCTCCCTCCTGGAGATCAGTTGTAATTCTGAGTGATTTCCACCCCTCTCCTAAGATTGGCAACAGTGGTTCCCCAAAAGAGAATGGCTGGTTGGGAGGGTGGAGTCTATGGCATTGTACCTGTCTGAGGTCCCACCCCTTCTCAAACCTCCCTCTCCAGGTTCCATCCCTCAGATCTCCAGGAATCTCCCACCTGGAGTTGGCAACCCTATCTCCTTCCCAGCCAATCCCAGCTTTCACTTCCCCCCCACACACACCTGCAGCCTCTTCTGTGCTCTGAAGCCCTGACAGCCACAGAGTCCACCATTTTCTCCATGGGAACTGATCGCTGCCATCTGGAGAGCAGTTGTAATTCTGAGTGATCTCCAGCCCTCACCTGGAGATTGACAACAATCGTTTCCCAG